AAAGGAGAGGGTCAGCCCAGGTCATCCTCCTGGCCCAGAAGTACGGTTGCTGGGGGCTGATACCGGTTCTTACAGCACCTCCTTGAAGGCCCTGGAGCCTCAGTTTCCCTACCCTCACAATGGAGGCACTGACTCCCATCTTCCTTTCTTCCCTTCCTTCCCACAATGCCCCCCACTCAAGAAAGCTGTGAGGTTCGCTGAGGTTCACTGAGGGTAAGGCTGTGGACAGAGTCAGGGCCCTGCCTCCTAGCCTTGTATAAGGTGGAGGAGAGGCTAAGGGAACCAGGAGCCTGGGGACCACCTCAGTACCTCCAAAGGCAGCCTCACTCCTTCCAAGGGAAAGAGGCCATGGGGCAGGACACCTCCTTGGGGGTAAGGGGGGACATACCCAGGCTTGGGGAGTCTCCAGCCACAACAGGCTCCCTCTTGGGATTGGCACTGCCATGACTCTACCACCTTCCTTGCCCTGAGCCCCACTTTCCCCATGAATCCAATGAGGATAACAGGGATCATCCCGGTACTGTCAGTCTGCGGCCTCCTGGGGTCACCAAGCATAGCCAACCGGCCAGTGGGTATGAGACGGTGGCTCTTATGAACAGCAAAGCCCTAAAGAGAGACAAAACAGCCTGCTAATGGTGGCATTTCAGGCAGAGAACTTGGGGGCAGAGGAGCCTGCAGTGTTCAGCCCCCCAGTCACAGCCACCCCAGCCAAGCCACTGCCCCTGCCTTGCCCTGGGGCTAGGGTCAAGGGTGGCAATGTCTGTCAGTGATGTGAGTAGGCTGTCAGGGACTCCATTAGCCCAGGAAAATGCCTTTCTGTCCCCACTTACTCTTCTGTCCTAGGCTATGGGCTGCCTGCAGTCACCTCACACACACAGCAGCCGCCACCACCCACCCATCTCCCTCCCTCCGAGCAGAGGCAGCTGCTAGGCCTCCATGCTGGAACCAAAATTGAATGAGCACTCTCACAATGTCGCCTCCCGCTGACAGCTCCTAATTGCATGTTGAAGCCATGTGATGGAGCCCAAGTTACACTAATTATGTCATTACCCTAATTAAGTAAATACTGTATGTGCTAATTGGCTGAAATCTCTTCAGGGGGATGGGCGCTGGTGTCCTCTGGGCTTCACTTGGGTGGGCTGGAGGTAACAGAGGAAGGTGGGGGCCCATCCCTCCCTGGGGTCACCCAGTGGGCATCAGTGAGGGTCCCTGACCACAGCCCAAGACAGGTGTGCCTGTGCTGCAGGGGAGTATGCAGAAGGCACTGACCAAGTGGTCAGAGACCCAGGTCGAAGGCCTGACTTGACCCCGACAGGCTGGTGGTCTTGAATAAGCCCTTTCTTCTTTTGATGTGGGCCCCCTTGCTGTCCTTCCCCTCAGCCAGCCCAGGGCCTGTGGCCTTTCAGACATACTGGGCACAGGGGCACCAGAGGAGCCCAGTGTTCAGTCATCTATAGATGCCAGCTATGTGCCTAGCCTGGGGTAGCAGCAGGAAGAATGGCTGATGACTGAGCAAAGCCCCAGTTCCTGGACTTAGCACCCAAGTAAACTAGCCAAAGGACAAACAGGGCTGGCATTCCCAGGAAGGCATGTGAGGTGGGAGGCTCTGAAGAGGTCTGAAGGACTTTCTGAAGAAGCGGGACTTCACTTACAAAGGAGGGAGAATATCACTGCATTAGAACTCAGATCATCTCCAAGATGTGATGTCTAAAGCATTAGAACTCAGATCACTTCCAAGATGTGATTTCTAAATAATACCAAACTTTTTTTTTTTTTTTTTTTGAGACAGTCTTACTCTGTTGCCCAGGCTGGAGTGCAGTGGCACAATTGTGGCTCACTGTAGCCTCACTCTCCTGAGCTCTGGTGAGCCTCCCACCTCAGCCTCCCGAGTAGCTGGAACTACAGGTGCGCACCATCACACCTGCCTAATTTTTGTTTGTAGAGACAGGGGTCTCACCATCTTCCCCAGGCTGGTCCCAAACTCCTAACCTCAAGCAATCCACTGGCCTCAGCCTCCCAAATTGCTAGGATTACAGGCATGAGCCACCGAGCCTGACCTAAGTACCAAAATTCTTTTTTTTTTTTTTTTTTTTTTTGGAGGCGGGGTTTCTCCTTGTTCTTGTTTTTTTTTTTTTTTTTTTGAGACAGAATCTCGCCTTGTCACACAAGCTGGAGTGCAGTGGCGTGATCTCGGCTCACTGCAAGCTCTGCCTCCCGAGTTCACGCCATTCCCCTGCCTCAGCCTCCCAAGTAGCTAGGACTACAGGCGCATGCCATCACACTCGGCTAATTTTTTGTTGTTGTATTTTTAGTAGAGACGGGGTTTCACCATGTTAGCCAGGATGGTCTCGATCTCTTGACCTCATGATCTGCCCATCTTGGCCTCCCAAAATGCTGGGATTACAGGTATGAGCCACCACACCACCATACCCGGCCAATACCAAAATTCTTAACCATGACCTTAGAGTGGGACTTGGGAGGAATGACAACAGCCATCTAGAAGGAAGATCTCCAGATGGGACTCCAACCTACTTGGGGGTACTAGGGGTGCAGAAAGAATGCAGCCCTGTGTCAGGGACTGGTATGTAAGCCTCAGTAGGGCTGGAGCCCCATCATGCCCCTTCTGAGCAGATCAGCACAGACCAGCTGGTCAGGTGGACTCCATCCCTGCCCTGTCCTTCACAGAGCTGTAGGGAGAGTCCTAAAGGCAGGTGGTGGGGCTGGGGCCTCCAACAGCTGGGTCCTCTCACATCACTTAGGGCCCAACAGCGCACTGTCTCCCAAGTGTGCCAGGTGCTGCAGCATGGCCATCCCGCTCTCCCAGCTCCACCCCGCCCGCCTGCCCGCCGCCATCTCTACAAACATATGCTGCGGCTCCACACCCGGCAAACACCACATGCTCACTTTGGTGGGCAATGGCTCCCTCCCCGTTTGCTCACTTGCTTCCCAGGACCCCGGGCCCAGTACAGCCCCCTACCCCGACTCAAGCCCTGGGCTGGCTGAACTCCCAGGGTGGCCTTGGCCAGTCCCCAGGTCTCAAGCTCCCAGTAGGTGACATCTGCTCATTCCTTGCCTGTCCCAGGCCTTCATTCTACATAATGTGGTCTGGGCTCCCGTGGGCTGGCTCCAGACACAGAGACAGACAGGAAGCAATCCTTTCAAACGTCTGCAACGTACTCAAATGAGTAAGAAAGAAAATATGTACACACACACACACACACAGAGAAAGAGAGAGAGAGAGAAAGCAATAGAGCACAATATTCACAGTAGTTGAACATATCCCCAAAGGAGCACATGTGTGTCTTCTGTACTATTACTATTCTGGCAACTTTTCTGTAAGTTTGAAATCATTTCTAAATAAAAAATAAATAAAGAAGAATAAGGAAACAAAAAAGGAAGGAAGGAAGGTCCTTTCCTTTCTCCAAGCTCCAGGCTATAGGAAAAGACCTGGACCGGTGGCAGCCAGGTCACTGTACCCCTGCTGGGTGGGGCCAGCAGGGATTCCCTGAGGAGGTGATAGGGCTTGGGGAGGCAGTCTAAGGGGCACACACCTCTGACCTCTGACCCTTGTATGCAAGGTGGCACTGAGGGGCTGACTCTCTGGGAGTCTCCCTGTCACAGCTTTAGGCAAGCCCTCACTCCCTCCCCTCCTCCTACTCTCCAAAGAATGTGCTCTGGGAGTCTGAGATAAGAAGGGGAACTTCCCTTGGTCACAAGGTATGGGAGGGTGGCCGGAACTTCTGTGCCTTTGAGTGTGAAAGGAGGCTGAACTGGCCCGGGGGCTGCGCCTGGTGGGGCCAGAGGGATGGGATGGCCCTACTCAAGGCCATCCTGTCCTCCCTCCCAGCGAACACTCACACAGACTCACCGAGCTGACTTCCCCAGGCAGTGCCCTTGCCTGTCACAGCAGCACTTGGCAGCAGGAGGGCAGCAGCAGGGAAGTGGCTCATTATTTCATCCTTCATTAGCTCGGCATTAGGCAGCCTGAGAATTGTGGGGTGTGGAGTGGGAGCCTCTGGTTCTGTGGTCCCGCAGCTCCAGGCCCACCCCTTGCAGCCTCCTTTCCCCCATCCGCTCTCTCTCTCCTGCTTCCCTACCTCTTTCATCCCCACTCCTCTCCTGCCTCCCTGTGCTCCCTACCCTGCCCTCCTCCCTGGGGTGGAGGCAGGCACACACGCTCCGTAAGAGGGGCTTCCCCTACCCAGTTCTCAGTCACAGGATACGCCCCTTCAACTATCCCCTCCCCGAAAAGACAGTGACACCAGCATCCTGATGTGTGGTCAATCATGGTGTGTGTCCTGGGTGTTCTGAGCTCTCAAAGAATGACTGGGACCCCTGCCTGGCCTCACAGCCCATCTCCTCTCCCCTCCACCTCAAGCTGCCACTTTAGAGCCTGGACTGCCCCAGAGTGGATCTGCCCCCCGCCCCCACTCCAGGAGGCTCTGGCTGGGATGCTCAGGGCTGGGGAACCCAGGGGTCAGCAGAAACCGATTCCTCCATTCAGACGCCGTTGTTTCTTCTCACGTCTTTGTAGCCTTGTCACTGGCCGCAGTCCTCCCAGCCAGCCCACCAGCCCAGCCCCTAACCCAACGACTGGCGGGTTTCCCTCCCTGCCAGTCCCCTTCGTGCATGGCCTTCTGCCATTCAAGTCCTATTGGTCTCCTCTGAATCCAGAGCCTGGCACGGGACAGGGGTGGGACCCCTCTGCCCAGCTCAGTCATCAGCCATTGGCCCCCTGCAACCTGCCTTTCACCCTGCTCTTCTCCTGCCCACGCCCCTCACTTGCCCACCACCTCCTCACCCTGTTCCTGCTCTCCCGCCCCTCTAACAGTCTCCCTGCTCTGTCTGGCCCCTCACCTCCCCTGCCCCCTCCCCATTTCCTCTCCCCTCCTCTACTGGCCCTTTAGTCCCTGGGTGTCAGGCTTTATCTCTCCGAGGGGGGCGGGCGGGCAGGCGGCAGGCTCGTTGTTCTCCCCTCCCCTCTCCTCTTCTCTCTCATCCTCTCCCTTCTCTCTTCCCCCTCCAGCCTCCACTCCTTCGCCCGCTCACTCACCCTCTCCCTCTCCCGCTGCCCCCCCTTTCTCCCCCACCTCTTTGTTTCAGCTGAGAACCAGCTCCTCGGGACAGTTCCCACACTGCAGTGCCTCTGGTGAGGAGACAGCGCCACTGAGGTGAGCCTTGGGGATCTGGGGACACAGGCATAGGGCGGCCGGAGCCCTGGAGGGCAGGCAGGTGGAGAGAATGGGAAGAATGCTTCTCTGCCCTGGGCAGTGGGAGCAGCAGTGGAGTGCCAGCTTCAGGTCCCCAAGGGGTCAGCAGGAGTGGGGGGCAGAGGTGCGGCCAGTTAGCCGCAAGGGACAAGGCTGGCCGGGAGCTGGCAGGCTCTGTTCCCGCGCGGGTGCCTGGCTTCTGTGGGTGGCCCTGAGCTGAGAGAGACCCTCAGGGGGACCTGAGAGGGTGGGCGGGGGCTGGGATGCCTGGAACAGCCCGCCCCTGAAGGTTTGAGTATATGCCCAGTCCTGGAGTCCAGGGCTCTGACCCTGCCTCTGACTGGGCTGCAGCTATTGGGTTGCTGGGTGCCAGCAGCGGTACCGTCCAGGGGACTGTGACCCTCACAGGTGCCTGTGCTAGCAGGGGGGTTGGCGGCTGGCTGGAATGTGCTGGGGCTGCTCCCACTGCCCAGGTGGAGAGTCTGAGCGGAGGGAGAGATCTTCCCCCTGCCACAGGCTCACAGGTTTTACTCCAAGCTACTGATCCCCAGACCCATAGAGCCACATGGCAAAGACAGGCACTTCTGCCTCCCCTAGAGATCTTTGACCAGCTCCCTCCAGACAGCATCCCTAGAAGAGCTTTGCCTAGAGTTGCAAACAGCAGGGTTTCAACCCAGAGCCTAGATACTCCTGCAGTCAGCTTCCTGGAACTGGGCAGGACAGGGAGGAACAGGGGCTCTGTGGATAGGGGTGGGGAGAGCAGGTGGAGACAGAGGCCTGGCTCCAATGAGGCTACAAGTGTGATTTTTGGAGATAACCCAGGGCCACAAGGAGATCCTGAGACTCTAAAGCTGTGCAGGTGGGTGGGAATGATCTGAAGGGGCAGAAGCCAAGTGCCAGGGGCCCCACCCCCTTCTCAGCTGGTGCTGGGGATGGAGAGGCAGGACTGGATAAGGGAAGAAATGTATGGCTCACACCATCCCAGGGAGGTGGGCAGGGCGGCTCTGCTGGCTGCTAGTGGAGGAAAAGAAGAAGCCAGCCCAGACATGAGGGGACACCAGGGAAAACCTTCTCAATGGGATGCATTTTGGGGGTCTAGCCTCTGGCTGTCTGACTGGGGCAGAGCCAAGTCCTACAGCTCCCTGGCTCCCCAAGGAGGCAGTGGTGGACCAAATCATGGTAAGTAGTGGTCCCATGAGGCAGAGCTGCTAAGGGCAGTGGCCCCATAGGACGGGGCAGATGGGGCATTTGCTTCTAGGGGCCAACTGTCTTGCCCTCTTCCCTTGGCTAGAACTTCCTCATCTGAACAAGGTGACAGCTGCCTTGCTCCCACCCCTGACCCCCAGAAATCCCTGGATGGGAGCAACATGTCTAGAGAGGTGGAATCAGAGCTGTGAGCATGAGCTGGTGTCAGGCTGAGTGTCCACCCCCAGCCCACCCTCCTCCAGCCACTACAAACCAGCCTGAGTCAGGAGAAGTGGAGAGCAAAGCCTCAGAACTGGCCCTAGCGGTTACTGGGGAGAGGTCTGGCCCACAGCCTTGGGGAGAAAGCCTATCTCTCCTGGACTAGGCACAGCTCACAACAACCCCATAGTCCTATTGCTCACACGGCAGCCTGCCAAGGTCATTGGCTTGCCCATCACCCAGGGTATGTGTGTCCCTCACCCTTGCATACCACCTCCCTTCCCCTAGCACATCCCAAATCCTCTTACCTAGCTAGGGATTCTGGCCTGGGGTTAAGCCAGTCCTCCCTCACCACTGTCTGGGCCTCCTCATGTCCCTTACACATGACCCAGACCCAGAGGGAGGCAGGTTGCCCTACCCATTTTCCAGAGATGTTGGGGGGGCCCTCTTCCAGGTGGCTCAGCTCACTCTGACTCCAGGCGATCATCCATCAACTCCGTGACCTCCTAGGGCACTATACACCCTACTGGCCATTAAAGACTCAAATACCATTCCCTGCTGGTGCCTGTCTAGTGCCAGAGGCCAGCAGGTTGCTCACTCAGCCCCAGTCAGTGAGCACCAAGGTCCCATTGGCTCTAATCCTGGTCCTACCATGGAACAAGGGGGCCTCCCTGAGCCAAGAGCTCCCTGAGATTCCCCTTGGAAGAGGCCAGTACTTCAACCTTCTTTCTCTCCCTCCCTGAGCTCCCCACTTGCACAGAGCTTTCCCACATAGATCCACCTGCCGCTGATACCTCCCTAAAGAGGCGATAGGGCAAGGATGTTTTCCCCATTAAACAGACGAGAAAACAGGCCTGGAGAAAGGAAGGTGGGAAGGCCAGGACAAGGACTTACCACCTGACTCCTATTCCAGTGCTCCTTCCAAGCCACTTAACTGCCATCCTCGTGAGATCCTACATGGGAGTGGGGTCCCTATGCCCACCAAAGTGTCCACTAACTGCCCAGCCTCTGCCCCCCAAAATCCTCAAAGCCCTGAGGCATTCCCAGAGACAGAGAGGCTCAGTTACTCCCAACAGTGTTTGAGCCAGGGCTTTCGGCCTTGGTTCCAAAACAGGCATCTAAAGGGTTCCCTGGGCTGGCTAAAGGCTTTGGAGCTGAGGCTGCATAGGGGAGGTGGGAGAGGGTTCTCAGAGCCTGTAATGCACCTCTCCTATCTGCAACCCCTTCCATCTCCTTGCATGCCCCCACCTCTCACCCTCTGCAGTAAGGATGTTGGCTCTCAGCATTAAAGTCCCAAAACAGCTCCATGACATTATTCCCTGCCAAAATCTTCATGAGGTTTGCCATTGCTGTCAACATGAAGTCAACTCCCTCGGCCAGGCACACTAGCCTCTGCCAGTCTTTTGGGCCTCTTTGCCCAACTTGCTCCTTGTATCCCCTACACTCTACACCTGTGTCTCCACCCTGGGATGGGGCACAGCACAGCTCAGAGACTGGTTGTGGGCTGCACTACACATTCACATTTATATATGTATCCATGCACACACACGCGCATGCACACTCACATACACACAGATGTGCATACAGATGCAGACACCCATTTATGTAGAAGCCTACCACTCAACTGAGCATGGTTTTCTGCCAAATCACACACACAATGGAGCTGTCCCTCTGAGCCAAGAAGAGTCCAACACATCTGCTATGTGGATCCCTGGAGAGGCCAAGCATGGTTATGTCACCATCCCAAGCCCTTGAGGGGCAGTGGGGAAACAGTAGATCCCCTGAATCTGGCTGAGCCCTTGCTTGGCCCCAGGGTCTCTGAGCCCCAGAGAGTGGCAGAGGATAGTCAAGCAGGTTCCAACTAGGTTCTCATCCTCATTCTGTAGCCTTTATGTGAGACTATGCAGTCCCAAACAAGCCACTTTTTCTCTCTGTATCTGCAACTATAAATCAAATGGTTGGGACTAGCTGACACTGAAGGGCTGCCCAGGCCCACTGCCCCACTGCTCTTGGCTCATGCCAAGTGCAGAGAAGGGAGACGCCTGTGAGGGCTGCTGTAGCCAGCAGGGCCAGACACCCTCCATGGTGAAATCCTCCAGCTGGGCCAGGGGAAGCTTCAGAAAATGAAGATGAGGTGGGCACAAGGGCAGCAGCAGCCGGAAGAGAAAGAAGCCAACATCAAGGGAGGGGCACTTTAATGATCCAAAATTGACATTTATGGAGCAAGTAATGAGTCCTATGGAAACATTCACTGTGCAGGGTTTATCTCATCTCATCATCCAGACTGTGGCCAAATACATCCTTTCTTATCTCTGGGGTATCCAGTGAACAAATCTAATGGGTTAGGCTCACAGACTATTTGGCCCTATTGGGTCCAATCCAGGCCCTGGCCTCCCAGACCCTACAAACAGAAGTATAGGGAAGGGGTCAATGTAGAGCAGGGGGAACTTCCTGCAAGATCCTATCCATACCCAAAGCCCTCAGCAGGGATGCAGGGAGCCATGTGCCCTGTACTAAGTATCTGTGTGCATACTCACAGATGCATTCCCACTCTTAGTACGCCAACACCAACGTCTGTATACTCACACACCCACCAAACACACACACTGGGGACATGGCTGCCAGGCCCTCAGCCCCTGCCCCAGTTCTCCTATCCTGCTTTTGCCTGGAACTTGGCACCCAGTGCCAATACTCATGCTCCCAAGAGCAAGTACTGAGGCAGGAACTGGTTACGTGCAGAGGCTGCCAGAGGAGCACCAGGATACAGGATCATGTGAGGATCACCATAACCCTAGAGACTGTGACCCTAGTCAGCAGGAACTCCACAACAGCACAGAAGGAAAGGAAGTAGTACCCGTGCATCCCAGTGGGGTGCAAGCTCCCCTTTACCTAAACCTCCCTGGTCCCCAGAGTCCACTTACCATGTTCACCTCCCTCCCAATCCCCAGCCTGCCATGCGTGAGCCAGGCCCCCAGGTCATGAACCATCTGCAAGCTAGGCTGTTCAGAGCCCAGGTGGGGAAGGGAAACCCTTCCCAGCGGAAAGTCCCGCCAGCTCTGGCCCAGGGCCCCTCAACACCCTCAGGGAGGAGGGGAGGGCTGGGGTGGAAGAAGTGCCTGTAAGAGCAGCCCCAGGCCTCGCTGTTCTCTATGGCTTTTTATTCCTATGTGATTCTACTGCTCACTCATATAGGGATTGGAGCCGTGGCGCACGGCGGGGACAGCCAGCGGAGGGCTCTGATACTGAGCAAGGGAGCCCAAAGGGAGGCAGGACAGTGGCACCTCCCTCTCTCAACCCAGGCTGCTGGCCAGGCCAAGGCAGTCGTTCCTCTATTCCCACTTGCCTCTTCTCCCACCAGCGGTCATGGGAAGGGGTGTGGGCCACTGGACCTCATCACTGGCTGAGCCCACCATCCCAGTGCTGAGACCCCCACTGAAGGGCTAACATCAGGGTCTGGACTTGGTCCCCAGAGGAGTGGCTGAAGGAACTGGGGATATTCAGCCTAGGACAAGGGCTGTCACAAGGAAACAGCACTGGGGGGTGGGACAAACTTCAGCTCAACCAGAAGTGCAGTATGTGGCTAAGGGCTGTCCAAAGACAGAAGGGACATCCATCTAACGAGGCCTATAAGCTGAGGCTGGAGAGGCCATGGTGACGGTGCCATGGCGGAGTCATGGTTGGGTGGGTGGCTGGTCACCACAGACTGCAGTCTTTAGGCCTGTCCTCCCTGGGGTCTCTGCTCACACACATCAAAGCTCTCAGGAGCCAGGCTCAACCCTCACACGCTCCAGAGAGACAGGCACAGGCACCCATTATGTGAGGCACATCCTGCATGTACTCAGTCCAGCAGAGGGGCGTTAAGAGTCCTGCCAGGCCCTGGCACTATGGCTGCAGCCATACCACACTCCTCTCCCAGCGGCTCCCCCGTGAGGCCTCACTCTGAGGGAAGGTGCACGGAGAACCCATGTCATGGTCCTATTTATTTTCAGATGTTCTCGCTTCACAGAAAGAAACAGGGTGAGGGGCTCAAGAGAGAGGCTGCCCAGGGGAGAAGCATGGGAACACTGAACTGGCGAAGGGGCTTGTCCTTGTCCTCAGGGGTACCTGCTGCCATGCAGAAAGTAGGGGTAGAGGGGAGGCCCCATCTGCTAGTCTGGCTGGAAGGGAATAGACATAGAGCAGAGGCCCTGAGTGGGAAGTGACAGCTAACCAAACAGCCAAGGCCAAGGAGAGGAGGGGCCCTAAGGCTTAGTGAGGCCCTGAGGACCAACCTTGCTCTGCCATCTGACCTTGCCCTTGTAGGCCTCCTCTGAAGTCTCAAAATGTGACCTATGCCATCACTGAGGCCGCAGGAACAAGAGGTGGGTGTCCATGACATTGGTACCTGTCATCCCTGTGTGCAGCAGGTGTGCCCCACCCTGGAGGCGGCAGAAAAAGGTATGTGAGTCATTGTGGGCTAGGAAGGTGGCCATGTCCAGGCCCTCAGCTGCAGCCTGGCTGGCAAGCTCAGGTGTGACCCAGGCCCCAGCAGCCTCTGTGGGCCCATCCTGCCCATCAGTGCCACCGCTCAAAAACAGCACATCTATTTGCCCCAGCGGCCACCTTCTCAACTCTGCTCCAACACGCAGGGCCAGTTCCTGGTTCCGGCCACCCCTGCCGGAGCCCTGCAGCTGCACTGTGGGCTCACCACCAGCCAGCAGGCAGACTGGGCCCCTTCCCCGTGCCATGGTCTCCAGAGCCTCCTCCAGCTGCAGGTCTGGGATCTGAAGCTCAGCTGCCAGCTCATGGAGCTGTGCATCTTCCTCCACAGAAGCCCCAGCCATGGATGGGGTGAGGCGGGTTCTAGCCACATGGGCCAGCAGCCCGTAGAACTGGGCCATACTTTTTACATCACCCTGCATGGCTGCACTCAGCACCACAGCCTGGTAGCCCAGTGCCTCAGCCTGCCGCTGGGCCTCAGCTAGTGCCAGCACATTGGAGCCAATGATCACATTCAGGACATGGCCACAGGCGTGTGGCCCATGGGGGTCAGAGTCGGCCCGAGACAGCACAGTCTTCACGGAACGTGGCAGGGCTGCACGGAGGCCGTAGCGATTGAGGATATGCAGGCAATCTTGCACACTGTGGGAACTGGCCACAGTGGGGCCGCTGGCAATCACCTCCACAGGGTCCCCCACCACATCTGACAGGATGAGGCTCACCACCTAGGGAAGGGCCACCACACAAGGCTCAGGCCCACTTCCTCCTCCCCTCAGAGCCCATAAGGACAAACTGCTCCTTGGGTATCCACACACCCACCCCCTAACTCAGTGCATTTCCTTACCCATGGTTAACTCCTCCCACGTGGGCTTGCAAAACACCTGGTCATGCAGGCACCTCCTCCCCATCTCTGGCACCCCTCCCATGATGTCACCCAGCCAGCCCCATAGTCTTTCACACCATGCCCCTGCCAACCTGTATGCTGTTCTAGGCTTTCACATCCCTGGCACATGTGGACCTGGCTCCACCAACCCAAGGCTGCCTGGGGAAGAATTGACTCATACCTGCGCAGGGTAGGCGGCCTGAGCCAGCCCCCCACCCTTGAGCTGGGACAGGGCCTTCCGAATGGTGTTCAACTCCTGGATGGTGGCTCCACGGGCTGCCAGCAGTCTGGTGAGTGTCTGCTTCTCCTCCAGTGTGACAGGTGGGATGGGGGCAGGCAGCAGAGCTGACCCCCCACCTGCAGAGACAATGAGGGTATCAGGCAGAGGGACTATCCCAACCCAGGGAACCAGGCGAGCAGGGGTGACAAGTCCACATTAGAAAAGGGGGTTTGGAAAGGTGGGGTTAGGGTGCCCCCGTGTGGATATGCAATGTGTATACAGTCACCACATCCTGGCTACTGGAGGTTGTCCCCTGCCTTGGGGTACCCCAGGTCCCAGGAGGCACTGGAAGAACTAACTACTTAAGAGACTAGAACAGGAGGCAGGGCAGGGGGCACACAATGGAAGATTAAGGAGAAGACTCCTTGAGGTCTGAGAGCCTAGCCCTAGGTGACATCAGTACAGACAACAGCAACAGCAGTGACATTTTCCAAGGACTCTATGGATGTGTCAGGCCCTGCATTAGATGCTCCCCGTGCACCCTCTCACTGACACCCAAAAGGTCAGTTCAGGGGGAGGACTCCACAGCTCAGGGGAGGCCAGATGACTAGTCCAAGGCAACCCAGGAATCACCATCCAGGCTCCTTACCACCTCCCTTGCTCCTAACTTCACCCTGTGACCCTGGGGGCTCAGATCTGATTTCTCAAAGACCTGATATTTGGTGCACCCCCCACCAACTGTCTTGGGCCAATGTGGTATTAAACCTGAGATCAGTACGAGCAGCAGGTCATCAGCTGTGAGTCCCTCAGCCAGTTGCCGGATGGCCAGCGCAGCCCGCAGTGCATCGCGGTCTGGGAGGTTGTCCTCCGCACCCTCGAATACCTGGACACGGCTATGTGGCTTCAGCAGCATCTCCCTGGGGAGGGAAAGGTCAGCGTGCAAGAGATGGGGTGGGCTCCTCTCCTCCCACCTCATCTCTCAACTTTACAGGTGAGGGGGGCATGAACGAAGATGCCCACTGACATGCATCCTGGGGCCAGGCCAGACCCAGGAGAAAAGGGAAGCAGGTGGGGAAAGGAGGCCTGATTCAGCCTGGGTCTGGGCCCAGGTTTCCCTCCAGATAGACAGCAGGAGGCGCCCCCCATGGCTCCTTACTGCTTGCTGGCGCGCTCCATGGCAGCACGGATCCCCTTGGGAATGCTGATCACGCCCTGCACAAGATGCTGGCCCAGTAGTTCCTCAGCGGCAGCTGCCATGCCCATCACAGCCTTGCCAAAGCCCACCAGGTAGACGTTTTGCCTCAGCTGAAAGCTCCGGTCCCGCACCTTCAGCTGTCTGCCACTAGGGTCCAAGGATAGTGCCCGGTGCAGCATGGGGCCCGGCAGCACTGCACCCACAGCACTCTCAAACAGCTGCCGGGCCTGCTCTGCCAAGGCCATGCTGCTGGCCAGCCGGACCACTGAGCCCCGCCAGAGGAGTGGATGCAAGGGGGCTCGGGCCAAGCGGGGCAGGACCTGCAGGGCTGCAGCCATGCCCCACTGCTCTCAGCACTGCCTGGCACCCATGGCTGCCTAGAGGGAAAAAGCACAACTGAGGCCCTTGCAAGGCAAAAGACAGGAGGTCCCCCACGGCCAGTGGACCCCACAGTGGCTGCTACAAGAAGGAGCCATCTGATAGCCCCAGGAGACTTCCTGAAGCCCACAGCTGCAGGATCTCACTCATCCTTGGAGACCAGCCCTGCCACCCAGCCATGTCCTCCTCTTCTGCAGACCACATGCCGGCCCTCTGGATACTCTGCCTTAAGTCCAAGGGTCCTATTAGCTGGGCCCTCCTCCTAGGTCATCTCTTTGGCTGTGAGTTAATCATTGACAGAGGGAGTAATTTCTACCAGTGGGCTCCCATCCCACCCCTTTTCCACCCCCTGCACTTCTGAGCTCTTACCCAGGGGCAACGCCCCTTTCTGGCACTCCTTCCTTGCCTCTTTACTACCTCTGCTGCCAGGAGTCTGTTGATTGTCCCACCAACTGACCCCGAGCCCACTGACCTCCAGCCTACTCTACTTTATCTCATAAGACTGGGATTAGGAGGCTGGGAAGTCAGGGTCTATAGGAGGCTGCAGGTTTATCAGGTCAAGCCCAGAGCATATCCTCAGGGCAAGCAATCTGAGGAATCCCAGTATTCAGGCCAGTTCAGCAAGAGGTTTAGTTTCAAATCAGGAGTGAGGGCAAAGTCTGGCTCATGGTGGAACCTTAGGAAAGTCCCCAGGCACCATGTGAGGCCATGTGCCATGAAGCCCAATTGCAGGACAGAAAAGGATGCCCTTCTACCCACATAACTGGCCAGACCCAACCCTGCCAAGAACACCCCTTCTGGTTCCAAGATAACAAAAACAAGTCCTAGATCACACCACCCACAGTGGTGAGAGCCCAAGAGCTGAAGTAGGCAAAGGCCAGGCTCCCATAACTGAGCCCAGATAGCCATTTTCCCCACTGGGCAGAGTAAAAGCTAAAGAAGCCTTGGGGTGAAGGTCAGGAAGCTGTAGAGGGGTATAGGAACAACAAAGACCCAAAGAGCTCATCTGTACTACATATGTACTATTGCATCTACTTTAATAAATGCCTATCATAAATGCTGCAAGCTGACTTCATCAGCAAGTATGGACTGAGCAGGGTAAGGAGGCTGGGAATTGAGCTTCCAGATGTATCTACTACAGGTTTTCTGAGTGGCTGGGACACATCTATTTCTCTCACTGGGCCTCATCCACAAAATGAGACACAAGGTGAGATGAACACTACACTCTCCCCTTAACACCCTCAGGCTCTCTGATACTGTCCACTGCAACACAGATCTCAAATACCGGTTTACCCCACACCCAAATGTGGTGGTTACTTCTAGACTCTGACCATTTTGTCTGCCTAGTTCTCAGCTCTCCCGTAAGAGAAGACAGCTATGCTTGACTTCTGTTGTGAAAGGGAACACAGAGGGCATCGTCATGGGGATTCCGAAAATGGGTCCAGTTATGGCCAGGGGGACCCCTGGAGCTTGCCCATTAGGCTTGGAGCTAAAAGCATCTTAGCAACTAAGACAGCCGGTTTTTATAGCCTGGGTGAAATCTGTATTTATTTCCCAGATGGACAAGAGCCTAGAAGATCCCAGTCTTGCCACTGGGTATGAGCAGAGGACGGGGGACGCTCAATGCCAAGGCTGCCAGAGAAAATACAGGACGTCCTGTTAAATTTTAATTTCAGATAAACAAGTAATTTTTAAAGTATAAATATGTGCATACAATGTTTAGGACTTAACAATTATTCATCGTTTATCTTAACTCAAATTTAACTGGACACGGCCGGGCGCAGTGGCTCACGCCTGTAATCCCAGCACTTTGGAAGGCTGAGGCGGGCGCATCAACTAAGGTGTGGAATTCCAGACCAGCCTGACCAGCATGGTAAAACCCCGTCTCTACTAAAAATACAAAAATTAGCCAGGTGTGGTGGGCGCCTGTAATCCAGCTACTCAGGAGACTGAGGCACGCGAATCATTTGAACCGGGGAGGCGGAGGTTGCAGGGAGCCGAGATCGCGCCACTGCACTCCAGCCTGGGTGGCAGAGTCAGGCTCTGTCTCAAAAAAAAAAATTAACTGGACTCTCTGCATTTTTATTTGCTAAGTCCTCCAATTCTATACAAGACATGGTCTCTCCAAAACTCCGGAGGGATCCAAAGCAAAACACGGAAACAGGAAGACTACCGGCCTTGACTCCTCCCCGCTATTAAAGGGGCCTGGCACCATTTCCGGTTTCCCGCAGTCAGCAGGGGCCTGGAAGTGACGTCATCCTCAGGTAGGGCCTTCGCGAGGCAAATGGCTGCCGCGTAATGCCCGGTGATGCGAGAAAGAAGGGCCTGCTGCCAGGTAGACAGCGAAGACCCTTCGTCGCCCAGCCCAGGGATTGCTTCTGAAGGTCATGCGCGCCCTGCCGGCGCAGACTTACCAGCCCACAGCTCCGGGCCGCGGCGCCCAGCACTGGAGACCGGAAGTACTCGCGGGTGGGCGGAGCGGAATCCGGAAGTGTGGGTGGGTGGAGCGGCGCTGGCGGCTGCGAGCTCTGGCTGAAGCTGGGGTCTGGAAGGGAGAGTTTAGGGTGTTGACTCCTTGCTGGCCACCAACAGACCTGGAAGGAGTCACCTTCAGTCCTCATTTTCTTAATCTCTACATTGAGGGTAATAATCCCCGCCTCACAGATTGCAGATTTTTTTTTTCGAGACGGGGGTCTCACTCTGTCGCCCAGACTGGAGTGCAGAGGCGCGGTCTCGGCCCAGTGCAACCTTCGCCTCCCGGATTCAAGCGATTCTCCTGCCTCAGCCTCCCGAATAGCTGGGATTACAGGCATGTGCCACCACGCCGGGCTAATTTTTGTATTTTTTAGTAGAGACCGGCTTTCGCCATGTTGGCCTCTCTGGTCTCGAACGCCTAACCTCAATCGATCCACCCACCTCAGCCTCCCAAAGTGATGGGATTACACACTTGAGCCGCCGCGCCCGGCCTCTCCCTTCCTTTATCTTGTACGATCAGTCAGCAGATACACCCTGAGGACTGGGCTGAGCAAACGAAGTGAGAATCACTACTTCCCCACAACTAACCCCTTCTGGAGCCAAATTAAGTAATTCCCGCTCCTCTCCATGGTTTTTATTCCACAACTTATTAGTGTTCTCCCCTCTCCCACCATGGGCCACCAAATACAGCTCTGGCCTAGCAAGAGTTCCATTCCGCGATCCTCAAGCACATAAGCTGCATGTAAAAGCGAATGACTCTGGACCTTCCTCACTGTCCCTGCTCTCATGCTGGGCCCACCCTGAGCTGGCTGGATGCCTTCCCACATTCATAAGATGAGTCCTCCTCAGACTCCAAAAACACAAAACAGTTCACTGTTTTTACTGATGTTTTCTTATGGAGATAGAGGAGAGAGTTGCATCACAAATCACACACTTGATTTCCTAACAATTTTATTGAAACATGTTTCTTGGCAGGGCCCAGTGTTTCACGCCTGTAATACCAACACTTGGGGGGGCCAAGGTGGGCGGATCGCTTGAGCCTAGAAATCCGAGACCAGCCTGAGAACATGGCAAAACTCTTATCTCTACACACAAAAAAAAGAGCCGGGTGTGGTGGCATGCTCTTGTAGTCCCAGCTACTCGGGAGGCTGAGGTGGGAGGATCTCCTGAGCATGGGAGGTAGAGGCTACAGTGAACCTTGATCATGCCACTGCATTCCAGCCTGGTCCCCTGTCTCAAAAAAAACCAACCAACAAACAAAAACACGTTTCTTTCGCCTATTTTTGAGGTGGTGTCTTGCTCTGTCACCCAGGCTGGAGTGCAATGGCACAATCTTGGCTCACTGTCACTGTACTCCAGCCTGGGCACAATCTCGGCTCTCTGCAACCTCCATCTCCCAGGTTCAAGCGATTCTCCTGCCTCAGCCTCCCAAATAGCTGGGACTACAGGCACCTGCCACCACACCCGGCTAATTTTTGTATTTTCAGTAGAGACGGGGTTTCACCATGTTGGCCAGGCTGGTCTCGAACTCCTGACCTTGTGATCCACCCACCTTGGCCTCCCAAAGTGCTAGGATTACAGGTGTATAAACAATTACAGGCGCCCAGCCTATATAAACAATCTTCACCTTTCCCCACGCTGGGGAACACTCATTGCCACTGCTTGGTGTCTGTGTTTCCCTGATGGCTGCCCTCACACTTTATGCTTGAATAAATTCTTTTAACTGGATCTCGAACCTTTTGATGATTTTTAGGTTGACATTAGAAATGTGTTTTTGGGCCAGGCGCAGTGGCTCATGCCTGCAATCTCAGTACTTTGGGAGGTTGAGGCAGGTGGGATCATTTGAGGTCAGGAGTTGGAGACCAGTCTGACCAATATGGTGAAACCCCATCTCTACTAAAAATACAAAAATTAGCTGGGCATGGGCCAGGTGCAGTGGCTCACACCTGTAATCCTAGCACTCTGGGAGGCTAAGGCGGGTGGATCACCTGAAGTCAGGAGTTCAAGACCAGCCCGGTCAGCATAGCGAAACTCCGTCTCTACTAAAAATACAAAAATTAGCCAGGCATGGTGGTATGTGCCTGTAATTCCAGCTACTGGGGGCGCTGAGGCTGGGAGGCTGAGGCAGGAGGATCGCTTGAACCTGGGAAGGTGCAGTGAACCGAGATTGCGCCACTGCACTCCAGCCTGGGTGACTCCGTCTCCAAAAAAAAAAAAAGATTGTTTATATAGGCAAAAACGGGTGCTGACCGGAATTACATTTTCCAAAAAAAGCTAACATTAATACAAGATTTGATTGGCTACCATTTATTATACTCGAAAGAGTTTGCTTAACATTCTATTGTAAAGAGGCAACAATCACAAGGGTCTCTATCTCCCACATCATCTAGTCTAAGTTTGAATGAAGAATAGGGAGCCTGGTTAATGTTTAACATTTCAATATAAAGGTCAGGAAGCAGCAGTCATGGATCAGAGAAGAAAAAAAAAAAAAGCAATGCCTGCTCAGTTTCCAGGGTTTAACTTTTCTCCTTCACATTATAAATTGAGAATGTCCTGAAATTTTCTTTTCTTTTCACACCCCCTACCTGCTCCCTCTGGCAGTTGCTACATCTCTCTGTAGGTCTCCAAACCATGCTGTGCTCTTGTCATGAACCTTTACCCTCCCCTGGCCCCTACTTCCAGCTCTCTCCCTGGATTTTTCTTTTTCATATATATATATATATATACACACACACTTTTTTTTTTTTTTTTTTTTTTGAGATAGGGTCTCTCACTCTGTCACCCAGGTTGGAGTTCAGTGGCATGATCTTGGATCATTGCAACCTCCACCTTCCAGGCTCAAGTGATCTTCCCACCTCAGTCTCCCAAGTAGCTGGGACCACAGGCATGAACCACCACACCCAGCTAATTTTTTGTATTTTTTGTAGACAGGTGGTTTTGCCATGTTGCCCAGGCTGGTCTCAAACTTCTGAGCTTAAGCCATCCACCTGCCTCCGTCTCCCAAATTGCTGGGATTACAGGCGTGAGCCACCACACCCATCCTTCTCCCTGGATTTTTCCTTTTAAAATATGAAACTGTGTATTCCTTCTCCTAAATGATTTCCCACCACATCATCAAAACAAAGGCATCCTCAGGTGGAATTGCCCTCTTTAATGTGGGAGAGGTTGTAAATACTGAAAATTTTATTGTTTTTCCTTGGTTATAGTCGGCTGTCTTCATCCATCCATGCATTTATTCCTTCTTCAGACATAATTCAAGAATTTCCTGAGTGCCTTCTGTGTGGGCCAAATGCTGTAGCTGCTGGGATAGGTAAGAAGTTGTACTTTTAATTTTTTTTTTTTTTTTTGAGAGACAAAGTCTCGCACTGTCGACCAGGCTGGAGGACAGTGGTGATTACAACTCACTGTATCCTCAACCTCCTGGGTTGTAGCAATCCTCCTGCCTCAGCCTCTCAAGTAGCTGGGACTACAGGTGCACACCACCATGCCTGGCTAATGTTTTGGAGAGACAGGGTCTTGCTTTGTTGCCTAAGCTGGTCTCAAACTCCTGGACTCAAGCAGTTCTCCTGTCCCAGCCTCTGAAAGTGCTGGGACTATAGGCGTGAGCCACTGTGTCCAGCCTGGGCTTGCAGGGTTGCTTCGTGGGAGGGAAGGTCAGCTGTGTTGGAGGCAGGGTAGAATGGAGCTGTGTCCTATGTAAGGGCTCTAAAACACCTTAAAGCTGGGAGGCCGAGACGGGCAGATCACTTGAGGTCAGGAGTTTGAGATCAGCCTGGCCAACACGGCAAAATCCCGTTTCTACTAAAAATACAAAAAAAAAAAAAAATAGCCGGATGTGGTGTCATGCACCTGTAATCCCAGCTACTCAGGAGGCTGAGGTGGGAGAATTGCTTGAACCCAGGAGGTAGAGGTTGCAGTGAGCCGGGATCACACCACTGCACTCCAGCCTGGGCCACAAAGTGAGACTCTGTCTAAAAAAATAAATAAATAAAATAAGCCGGGCACGGTGGCTCACACCTGTAATTCCAGCACTTTGGGAGGCCGAGGCGGGCGGATCACGAGGTCAGGAGATCGAGACCATCCTGGCTAACACGGTGAAACCCCGTCTCTACTAAAAATACAAAAAAATTAGCCGAGCGTGGTGGCGGGCGCCTGTAGTCCCAGCTAAAGGGGGGCTGAGGCAGGAGAATGGCATGAACCCGGGGGGCGGAGCTTGCAGTGAGCGGAGATCGCGCCACTGCACTCCAGCCTGGGCGACAGAGCGAGACTCCGGCTCAAAAAATAAATAAATAAATAAATAAAAAGGAAACACCTTAAAGCTATTTTTCTTGGAAGGAGGAGTTGGGTAGAGTAAAACAAAGCACCAGGAAGCAGTTCAGTTATGACTAGGCAAGTCACTGATGAGAGGCCACTAAAGCTGTGTATGTTGGATTGTTTGGGAAAGTTTTTAAGCCTTTGGAAACAGTGCTGTAGTTTTAGAGACAGAGGCCTTGGCCCTGAGACTCTAGGCAGGTCCTCCTGGCTCTGAGCAGTCAAGGCTTATCTGGGAAGATTCTATCCTTTCCTTCCAGACTAAGGCGGCATTGTTTACTAACAGTGGTCTTTGTTAAATGTGAATGATTGCTTGTCCTTTGCCCTGGAAACAGAACACAAGCTTTCCAGTGCTGAAGCAGAGTGTGAATTCAGACTTTAGGGCTTACTGGCTAAGTGACCCTTAGAAAGTTAACATTTCAGAACTTCAGAGTCTTCATCACAATATATTTCCAGTGCATGTAGAGAGACTCACTGTTGTTGCTGTACTAGTCCTGGGGTGAGCCAGCTTCATGGGTGTGACCTGTGCAGTCAGAAGGATGCTGCACTTGGTTTAATAGTCTGTTGTTGCCATCTTAAGATTCTTAGCAGTTTTTTAACACGGGGCCCCACAAATTGGGTAGTTGGTCCTGCTGCCAGGGAAAGATACCCTCTTTTTATCCAGGCCCCGTGCTCGGAGTCTCAGGACCTCTCTGAGGAATTCCAGTAAAAGTGGACATACATTAGTAACTACATTTATTATTTCTAGCAATATTCATGTATATCCTACACAATTTTCCATGCACACACTTATATTTTCTCTAAATAAAAATGGCCTACTTCATCCTTGTAATATTTATTTTCTTTTTTTTCTTTTTCTTTCTTTTTTTTTTTTTTTTTTTTTTGAGACAGAGTCTCACTCTGTCGCCCAGGCTGGAGTGCGATCTCAGCTCTGCAACCTCTGCCTCCCAGGTTCAAGCAATTCTTCTGCCTCAGCCTCCCGAGTAGCTGGGACTACAGGCGCACACCACCATGCTTGGCTAATTTTTGTATTTTTTGGTGGAGACGTGGTTTCATCACGTTGCCCAAGCTGGTCTTGAACTCCTGACCTCAAGTGATTCACCCACCTTGGCCTCCCAGAGTGCTGGGATTACAGGCGTGAGCCACTGTACCTGGCCCTTATCTGAGGAATTTAGAAAGGAGCAAAGACCACCTGGTGACCATCCAACAGGCCATCCAGAGGCAAAACTCCTTATCTGCGGAAATTAGAAGTAATTAAACTTCCCTAGTATCTAAAGTGGGGATCTGGTTCCACGCCTCTTTCAACTTTTATAAGTAACTAAAATTTCTAGGCATCTCTGTAATGCCATGCTGAAACTCATTTACAACCCTAAGCTCCGGCCTGAAGGTCCATAAATGCGCCTAAGGAAGATCCACCAAGGGCCCTCAATCCTCTCACTGGGGTGCCCCGCTGCACTCTTCTGCAGCCTTCTTTCTTTCTAAGAAATTTTCCTTTTTCAAACCTATACTGTTGTCATTAAATTCCTTTTGCCAACCTGTGAGGCGACCACTTCCCGGTGCTGGAGCTCAGACACCTCACCAGGCATTTTGTGTTCCAGTGTTCTGCTTTTCATCTTTGGCAATTAAGCGCATGCACACACACGCGCGTGCGCGCGCAACTGTCCCAAAGAAGAGAGTCACCTGATTCTAGTTATTGCAAGGGCTGTGTAAGCTCACACACACACACACGCAGCTGTCCCAAAGAAGAGAATCACCTGATTCTAGTTATTCCAAGGGTTATGTGAGAAGTTAGTCTATCTCTAGAGAAGCCCTGCTGCTGGGCACTGGAGCTCAGAAATTTATCTCAAAGAATTAGCATTCATAAGGAGCTCTCTGTTTTGGAAAGAGGATACATTGTTTAGGACAGTTTCCATTTTCAATTGTGTAGCATGAAACAGAAAAATTTAATGGGCCAGTCAAGTATCTGGAATCCTTTGGATAAATTAATTTATTCAATTAATCCATACTGAGCTCTGGCTGGACTCTGGACAAAATGGGAAGCAAAATTACTTTACAACCATATAATAGAATACTATGTAGCCATTCAAAATGATTGTATCGATATTTATTGACCTGGAATATGTTCATAGTATGGGTAAAGTTATAAACAATATATTATGAATCCATTAAAAATGTATTTCAGGGACTGGCTGGGTGTGGTGGCTCACGCCTGTAATCCCAGCACTTCGGGAGGCTGAGGCAGGCAGATCACCTGAGGTCAGGAGTTCAAGACCAGCCAGGCCCACATGATTAAACCTCATCTGTACTAAAAATATAAAAATTAGCTGGGCATGGTGGCAGGCACCAATAGAAGGCTGAGGCAGGACAATCACTTGAACCCACGAGGTGGAGGTTACAGTGAGCTGAGAGCATGCCACTGCACTCCAGCCTGGGTGACAGAGCAGAAAAAATAAATACATAAATAAATAAATGAAAAAATCAGAAAGGTTCTACATCAAAATGGTAAATTTTATGTTATATATATTTCACTATAATAACAGACTGTAACAGTGGCTATCTCTGGATCCCACGTTTTTATTATTTGTATTTTTTAGTTTTTTTGCAATGAATATGTGACAAGTAAAATGACTACAAATAAAAGGAAATATAAAAAATTAAGTCTGATGCTCTTTTAAAGGCCATCTGATTCACTCCTGACTGCAGCTTTCTCTCCATCCACCCATCCAGATCTGGAGCCGGCTTTCTGGGTCACTTTTTAAAGTCCATCTTTTCTTTTTTTTTTTTTTTTTGAGACGGAGTCTTGCTCTGTTGCCCAGTGCAGTGGTATGATCTCGGCTTACTACAACCTCCACCTCCTGGGTTCAAGCAATTCTCCTGCCTCAGCCTCCCAAGGAGCTGGGATTACAGGTGCCCACCACTGTGCCCAGCAAATTTTTGTATTTTTAGTAGAGACAGGGTTTCACCATTTTGGCCAGGCTGGTTTCGAACTCCCGACCTTGTGATCCACCCACCTCGGCCCCCCAAAGTGCCACCGCACCTGGCCTAAAGTCTATCCTTTAAGGCAACCATGCTGTTGGGCTGGAAGCCAGGAGAGCCCCACTATAATAGGGCAGGGAGCCAGGCTAGGAATTGGAAACAGTAAGAATGTGAAACAGGATAAGCATTTGAAGACCCTCTTAAAAACGAAAAAAAAAAAAAGACTGCATTCCAAAAATAATGCAGAAAGGCAAGTCTTGGGAGGAAGGTTTGGTCTTAACGGTGAAATCTGGAAAAGGTATAGGAAGTACAATACTTGAAAGATACCCTGAAGATTTCTTTTGGCCGGCAACATGCAGTAGATTACAGCTGTTTCTGTGGTTATTTTTGTAGATTAACATGGACCAAAATACGGCATCATCTTACTGGGCGCGTTCACTTCCCGACAGTTCCAGAACATGGCACTCGATCTGTCCTTGTTGCCTTCTAAACTATTCGAAGCAGACTCTGTATCAGCCTTTCTAGCTTCTGAAATAAAGGCACAGGAATTACAGGGAAGCAGAGTGAGTGATCTGGGGCGTGGAGGGTTTTTCTTCCATTGCTGTGCAGTTTGGAAAGTTGCCATCTATTCAGGTTTCACTCAAACCGGCTTTTTCCAGACCCCAGAACAAATTGTAGCGAGAAGCTCTGCTCTTTGTCAGGAGGCAGTTATACCCCAGACTTAGCCAGGAACTTGCCCTCTTCCCTTAGAGAACAACTTCTCTTTATGTATAAGGATCCTGGCTCTCCTTTTACCCAGGGGGTTGGGATACAGCCTCTAAGTTCTTTCTAGAAAGACCCTAGCTGTCCCAGGGTTTCCATTTTGTTTTTTACCATTGCACAGGTCTCTGGATATCACACCTTCCTAATAGCGACTGAAATGTCTCGTAGCCTTTCCTTGTTTTTGTTTCTCTTTAGCTAAAGAAAGCAAAAATAAATAATCCCCATCTCCACTGTTGGAAACCCCAGGCTTTTTAACCTCTGGAAGAGCTTCACACAAGATAGAGATCTGTGAAGCTACATAGGTTGGCACTGAGTTTAACCCTTTGCCCATAAAGTTAAGGTTAGGAAGCTTGGTTCCTATTTTCTGTTCAAATACTGTTTTTTTTTGTTGGAGATAAACTTCTTTTAAGGCTAAGAATCACTTATATGATAGAACCTTTAGAATAATCCTGTTGACTACAAACAGGATAGTGCAACTCTTCCATATCTTGAATGTGGTGGTGATTGCATGACTCTGTTATGGGTGTTAGAACATAAAACTAGCCACTAAAAAGGCTAATTTTTGGAGGGAGACCGTCTGCTCTGTCGTCCAGGCTGGAATGCAGTGGCACGATTTCGGCTCACTGCAGCCTCCCCCTTTCTCAATTCTCGTGCCTCAGCCGCGCCATCATGCCCGGCTAATTTTTTGTATTTTAGTAGAGATGGGGTTTTGTCATGTTGGCCAGGCTGGTCTCAAAATCCTGAGCTCAAGCGATCATCCTGCCTCGGCCTCCCAAAGAGGTACGGGTTGGAAAGGCGTGAGCCACCGCGCCCGGCCCAAGGCGGCTGATTTTTACTGTACCTAAAGCCTACCTCGATTAAGAACACCAGGCCGGGTGGGGGTGGCGGGCGGACTGCCTGATGTCAGGAGTTCGAGACCAGCCTGGCCAACATGGTGAAACCCCGTCTCTTCTAAAAATACAAAATTAGCAGGCGTGGTGGCGCGCGCCTGTAAGCCCAGTTGCACGGGAGGCTGAGGCAGGAGAATCCCTTGAACCCGGGATGCGGAGGTTGTGGTGAGCCGAGATAGCGCAACTGAGCGACAAAGCGAGAGACTCCATCTCAAAAAAAAAAAAAAAAAAAAAGAGGTCGAAGCTGTCTAAGCGGGCGCTGCTGTGGACTTGCGGTCAAGCCTGCCCGCGAGCGGCTCACCTGATTCACCCCCAAAACCGGCCTCCAGCGGCGTACGCGACCCTGCAGTGCCCCCTCCCACGCGGCTTGTGGTCGGGAAGCCTGCAGGAAGCGCCAGAGCCTTCGCAGGGGTTGCAGTCTCGCGCAAGGGCCCTCAGCTCCCAACGCACCCGCAACCTTCCGACACCCGGAGAAGGCCCCGCGCGTCTGAGCTCCTCCTTGCCAGCAGCCAGCCCTGCCACTACACTCAGCCGCGGCCGCGCTGACGTCACCACCCCCCTCCCGGCCTCGCGAGGCCGTTCCCGCCCCGCCCCCTTTCCCGGCGTGCGCCGCGGCTAAGGCTCCTCGCCCTCAGCTTCTGCCTGTCGCCCCAAAATGGCGGACACAATGAGCCGGCGACGCGCCGGCTGTCCGTGAGGTGGCTGTGAAGACGAACAGTCGGCGAGGCTCCGCGGTTCGGGCAGAAGACCCTCGTCCAAGCAGGAGGAAGAGGAGGAGGCGGCCCAACTGTTGGCCGACTTCCCTCTAGCCGCCGGCGCGGCGCCCGCCCCGCCTGGGTTGGCCCCTCGGCAGCCCGCCCGTTCGCCGCCGGGCCCCGCCCCGGTCCTGCGCCGCCGCTGCCTTCCTCAGCCGCCGCCATGAAGCTGACCGATAGCGTGCTGCGGAGCTTCCGCGTCGCTAAGGTGTTCCGCGAAAACTCGGACAAGATTAACTGCTTTGATTTCAGCCCCAACGGCGAAACGGTCATCTCGAGTAGCGACGACGACTCCATCGTGCTCTATGACTGCCAGGAGGGCAAGTGAGTGCGGCGGAGGCCCTGGGCCCAAGTCTCAGTGCCTCCCTCCCTCCGGTGGCCCAGCACTGGTCCCTCGGCCCGCCCTCCGTCCCAGCTTCAGCCCCCGGCCTATTTTGCACGCGTTCCTGCCAGGGCCGCCTCCACCCCTCAGCCGTCCAGGAGACCTTTTATTTTTTCTTATTTAAAAAAATTACGATAGTCATAATTTTATAATAGCGTTCTTATTTGTATGTTTTCGGTCTCCTTTGAGCGCTATGCATCGCTTGCCAAACCCCACCTTGACCTTGACCTTTAAACGCCCGGTCCGCCCACCGTGGGCCCAGCAGGTAGCGTTTTCAGCTCCTCAGGCTGTCGGAGGTGCTGGTCTGCTCCGGCCTCGACGCAGGACTGCAGGGGCTGCTCTCCTGCCTCCTTCGGCAGCGTCAGCTCGCTCTTCTGCCCTCTCCGCTGTGACCTCGATTCCGCCCTGGCACTCCGCCCATCCCCTGCCCCTCAGCTTCCCGCGACCTTTCTGCCATCAGACAGCGTGGGTTGCAGTTCTTAGCTGTCAGGATTTATTTGTTGTGCCTCTTTGAGCCCCCTTGCTTTTTCTTCGTGCTCGTAGCCTTTCTCTTATTCCTTCAAACTCGGTGCCCACGTTCATAAGTGAACTTTTCAGCAACATCTAAAACTTCTTTTTGCCACACACAAACGAACTTGGTCTTCCCATCCTGACCTGAACGTGAGCTTCCGTTAAAACAAAGCAAGCATCGTAGAACAATTTCAGGTTTCCTTTCATACTTTTTTTTTCTACTACCCTTTTTGGTCCACTTTGAATTCCAATTCTGGTCATGAAACTTTTATGTTGCCACCAGTCATCTGGAGACCCACCATACCTGCATCTTTTCGCAAAATCTAAGCACGGCACTTTGACTTTTTCCCTGGAGGTCCTTGTCAGCCCCCTCACCGCACGCCTGTGGACTTGCAGCTCCTTGGAGCCAAAACTAGTTTAGATTAAATCTGTTTTACCCTTAGCCACTTTCCCCAAGAAGGGTTGCTGATGTTTGGTTTAATTCGGTGACCTCTGGTTTTGTCAGACTTGATTTTGTTACCTAGTAACAGATACTATTATTATTATTTTGAGATTTTGGGTTTTTTCCTGTCCTCTCCAGCTGTTCCTTTTGCCTTTTTTTTTTTTTTTTTTTTTTTTTTTTTTTTTTTTTTTTTTTTTTTAACTGGTGTCTTTCTTTTGGAACGTGTCTCTTCATTTGTGAATTTGATTATCTGAAATAATGCTAGTTTGGACTGAGCTATAATGGTATCCCCCCTAATTTTTTTCCCACTGGGACTGTGAGAAAATATTACGTAACTGGCTCTGGATCTGCCTGCAGTATGTGGCAGAGTGGTCTGCAGTGGTGGTCTTAAGGAAGAGGGAATTGTTAGCTGAACAAATACTTAGTTATTTGAGTCAGTGTTACTCCTTGAGTAGATAGATTTCTGTCCTGGTCTGGTCACTTGAATCAGTTTAGAAGAGGAAGTAACACTTAAAGGTGTAGTAGTAGGGTCGGCATTGTGGGGTCCTGGAGGAGTAATTTGAAGCTGGCTTGCATGAAATGTTTAGTGCTTTTGCACAGTTTAGAACCTCTTCCCAGAACCTTAGGATGGAGATATATATCCTCATTTAAAGAAAATGAAGGTTGTGATAGCCTTTCTTTGCAGTTTGTCCCCAAATTTGGCATAATTTTGATTTGGGAAGGATGACCTTGACGTGAAGTCCTGTCTTTTTTTTTTTTTTCCTTGTGTTTTTGGGACAGAGTCTCCCTCTGTTGCCCAGGCTGGAGTGCAATGGCATGATCTTGGCTCACTGCAACCTCTGCCTCCCGGGTTAAAGCGATTCTCCTGCCTCAGCCTCACAAGTGGCTGGGATTACAGGCGCCTGCCACCATGCCCTGCTAATTTTTGTATTTTTAGTAGAGACGGGTTTCACCATGTTGACCAGGCAGGTCTTGAACTCCTGACCTCAAGTGATCCACCCGCCTCGGCCTCCCAGAGTGCTAGGATTACAGGCATGACATGCTGCACCTGGCCAAATCCTGTCTTGTTAAAAGTAAAATGCTAGTTTTGTGACATAAGGCAGTTTATTCACTCACATAGCATTTTTACATAATTACAAACCAACAGAAAGTTACAACAGTGTTTCAGATAACTCCCATATGATTCAGTAACTGGTTACATTTTCTGCATTTGCTTCATCACTGTAGGTAAATATTTATAGGTACTGTGTGCCTCCCCCCACCCTTAGAGTTGGAGGTATCAAGCCCCTTTATCTCTAAACACTTCAACATGGACTTTCTTTCTTTCATCTTTCTTTTTCTTTTTTTTTTTGAGATAGAGTCTCGCTTGGCCACCCAGGCTGGAGTGCAGTGGCGTGATCTTGGCTCACTGCAACCTCCAGCTCCTGGGTTCAAGCGATTCTCCTGCTTCAGCCCCCTGAGTAGCTGGGATTACAGGTGTGCATCACCAAGCCCGGCTAATTTTTGTGTTTTTAGTAGAGACAGGGTTTCACCATGTTGGTCAGGCTGGTCTCAAACTCCTGACCTTGTGATCTGCCCTCCTCGGCCTCCCAAAGTGCTGGGATTACAGGCGTGAGCCACCGCACCCGGCTCAACATGGATTTTCTAAGCACAAAGACATTCTTACATAACCAGAGATCCAAATTAGGAAATTTAGTATTGATACAATACTACAGGGCATGCTCTTTTGAGTTTTCTTTGATCAATTAATTGTGACCTTGTTTTGTTGTCTGTGGTGAAGGAGTGGCCTGGTAGTTAGGAGAGAACTGGGTTCTAGT